ATTTATCTTTATTTTTTCATTTATTTATTATTTATTTATTTAGAGACAGAGTCTCACTCTGTTGCCCGGCTAGAGTGCGTGCGTGGCGTCAGCCGCTCACAGCAACCTCAGACTCCGGGCTCAAGTGATCCTCCTGCCTCAGCCTCCCAATTAGCTGGGACTACAGGCATGCGCCACCATGCCCGGCTAAGTTTTTCCATATATTTTTATTTGTTGGCCTAATTTATTTCTCTTTATAGCAGAGACGGGGTCTCACTCTTGCTCAGGCTGTATCGAACTTCTGACTTTCAAGGCAATCCTCAGCCTCGGCCTCCCAGAGTGGCTAGGATGACAGGCGTAGCCACCGTGCCCCCCTGTCAAAGCATATTGCTTCCAACTCAGGCGGCGGCGGGCGGCGGCGCAGGCAGGAGGCAGGGTGAAAGACACCTTTGGGTGCGTCTAGCGATGCATTCCCGCCTGCAGTCCCTGGCATCTTTCCTTCTTAGAGCTCTGTCGTCGCTGCTGTAGAAACAAGCCTCTTCCCACAGTCCCCAGCTCACAGAAGGGCAGCCAGGCATGAAGAAGGCGAAGTGTCCCAACTGGGCCCAGGGCGAAACTGGTTCTGAAGTCGACTTTTCTTTAGGCTCACTACCTCTGCTATAGGCCTCGTTTTCCTCCCCCGCCCCTCCAGCTCATCTCAGGCCCGCGAGGCTGCGCGGGGCCGGGGAGGCTGCGAGGCTGCACGGGCCTCACCCCCCGCCCCCAGGCTGCGAGGCTGCGCGGGGCCGGGGAGGCTGCGAGGCTGCGTGGGCCTCACCCCCCACCCCAGCCTGCGAGGCTGCGGGGGGCTGGGGAGGCTGCGAGGCTGCGCGGGCCTTAGCCCGCGGGGAGGCTGCCCCGGGAGCCGAGGAACGGCTCTCCCGAGGAGGAAGGCGAGAATGCGGGTCAGGGCGGCGAGCGCAGTCTCCGGCGCTGGCAGGAGACGGAGGAGACGCAGACACTGCGGGATTGGAGGCAGCTTTGGGACACATGTGACAGGACTCGGTGACCCGAGGAGAAGAGCCAGGAAGGGCCGGCTTCTGTCTGGGGTGACTGGGTGGAAGCCAGTGCCGCCCCTGGGCTGGGGACACGAGGGGGTGGACGTGTTTGGTGGGGGACATGATGCTTCCCGTTTCTAATTTTATTTTTTTTTTTTTTTATTTTTTTTTTTTTTTAAGGCTGGTCAAGTGGAGCAGTGGGAGTGGAGAAGGAACAAAGGAATCTGTAACTGGTTGTGATCAATTAGTTGTAAACACCACTGCACTCGGACCAACCCCGTTTCTAATTTTAGACCTGCTGAGTTTAAGGTACTCACAATATATCCAAGCAGCCAGGTACCCTCACGGAAACATCACTTTTAATTTTATTCAAAAAAGA